ACAAATGACCAAATCGTGCTAGAATCTTGCATAGCTTGCACAGCATTGGTCGAGAGCCAGTTCACGGCCGTGTTATCCGGAAATCGTGCTACTAAGGCCAGGAATGAGCGAATCGACCATCATATTTGTATTGACTTGAAACGCCGCATAACCGGTGGAATGGCAGGATTTGAAGGGCATTATTATGGCGTTATGGATGTCTGCCCAATCTTAAAATAGTCCACATGAAATAGGATGCACGTCTTCGCGGTCTTGTACCTCAGTAACAAGAGAGTTTTAGGGCAGTGCCGTGAGCTGTGCCCAATGATCTGTAAGATGGCTATTTCAGTTCAAACCCCCATACAAACAGGAAACACTCTCCTTAAGCAGACTTCGGGCCCTGACCTTGTGTTGGTACATTGTTGTCACCTGCCTCTTTCCTTGCCACTGGGCAGTTGTCTCCACATATCTCCCAGCTTGCTTGTCGAAACTGCGGTTGTCCTGGAAGAACGGATCATTGTGCCTTTCCTTAAATGATTTCGGGCAATGACAGCACGCTGTTCAAGTCCAAGGGAGGTGCCCAGAGTAATGTGAAAGCAGTGCGACCTTTGGAGAGCTACTTGACCACTGGGACTCCGAGCCACCCTGGGAGGGGGCAGCGGGAACCTTGGGGGGGGCAGTGTACCCGTATGATCAAGCGCCATAGGGGGGGCGGGCACATGCGCTATGTAGGCATGAGTGCCACTGCTGCGTGTAATGGGCACGTGCACTGTCTACCTGACCTCGAGCTGGTCATCAGGCTCGAGCGGACCGGATGTGGACCGCTATACCACCGGCGTCGCACCGGTATAACCTGAGCGGCGACCAGCCGCAGATAAGACGCGCTTGTCGCCAGTCTTCAGGGCTTTCTTTTCGGTCGGAAGCTCAGCGCCAGAAAGCGGCGGGGAGAGGGGAGGGGGGGGGGGGGAGGAAAAACGAGAGAGAGTGAGGGAATCTCGCGACCCGTTCTCAATTGTTCTCAATTGGCAATGATAACCCCATTCACAGCGTGGGCATGCGCCTTCAGTGGTGACGTCACATGCTACAGCTCAACCCTAGTGAGAACGCCACGAACCGGAAGCAGCCTTCCGATTGTCGGAAGCCAATTTTTCACTCGGCTGATGGCGAAGTCAGTGGGGAAATTGTTGGGTAGGTGTAATGAACCCCGGTTTTCTTGCGGCGCACTTTCGCGCAGGGATCGATAATGTTGCCGTCTTTATAGAAGCAGGAGGCCTGGAACACTCTTCCACTCAAGACAGCTCCTGTTGCTTGTACCCAGCACCCACGCCTTTCTTCACAGGCACGTCGTGTAGCTTCAGCCACCGCGGAAATGTGGCGCCGTCTGCCCATGAAGAATGACCGTCCGCATTCCCGGCCCGGCCGGATTTCGTAATCCGGCTGCGGTTGGCCGTCGACCAGGGGCGGAGAGACCGTTACAGACGGGAAAATGGTGGGCTAAGAAAGCTCTGTGGCTGTGCTGTAATAGCCGTTAGATCCACTCGTAATGGGGCCTCTACCAGGGACAATGCAACGATGCATGTCGATGCCCGAACACTCATCGATTCTACAATCGCGGGTGATAGTATGCAATCTCGATCAGTTTACACTGCAACGTCGCAGCAAGCGTGTAAGATGAGGCCACTGTGAGCAGCCTTGAACTGGGCCGTGCGTCGGTCGTATGGCTCGCCAACCACCCCTTCAACCAGTGACGACAGGCGCCTAACTGAAATAGACGTTCGTGAGCTCCAGTACCCTGACGTCACGAAGCCTGGCCGCCCCACGGGCAGCGTCAGGATTACTAGGATGTTGCACCAGGAAACCCCGTGGTGTGCCTTATTGCATGCCTTCACCGTCAAATGGCGTATCTGCCTACAGGTACGCAAGCACACCCGGCTGCGTCGTGTGACCGACTGCCCCCCATACTCGCCAGCCTGGAGCCGCCGCTGCCCCAGTGACCGCGCGCGCCGCCGCGCCGCGCCGCCGTCAGCTGATCACCAGTATCCGTGTCGCCGGCTGGCGGAATCGTCGGTGTTGGGGCGGCGGCCGAGGTCGGCGGAGGGCGGCGGCGCAGCGCTCCGTACATTGACGACCGACAGCGGGACGAGATAAGCGTGAGCGGCGGAGTGGACGCGTGTGGTCGTGCCCGAGTGGCGGCGGGAGCGGTGCTGTACAGCCTCACGGCGGCGGCGGAGCCGGGGCGCCGCTCGCTCCGCTGCTGCGTATCGCGCCCCGCGCCGGCCCGACACCAGGCGCCATCCGTCGGCGACGTCACAGGCGGCGTAATCGGATCAGGGGCGGCGCCGACCGCCGGCGCGATGGACTCGCCGTCGGGCGAGACGGCCGACGATGAGCTGCTCGGCGCCGTCAACCTCATGATCCTGGGCGAGGGCGCCGTCGGCAAGTCGTGCATGCTGCAGACGTACTGCGGCGACGCCGCCGACGCCGTCAAGAGCGCCACCATCGGCGTCGACGTCTGCACACGCGTAGCGTGTGTGCGCGGCCTGCCGGCCAAGCTGCAGTTCTACGACACGGCCGGGTCGGAGCGCTTCCGCGCGCTCATCCGGCAGCAGTACGGCCGCGCGCACGGCGTGCTGCTCGTGTTCGACTTCACGCAGCGCGAGACGTTCCTGCGGCTGGACGGCTGGCTGAAGGAGGTGCGCGCGGCGGCGCGCCAGCAGCCGATCATCATGCTGGCCGGTAACAAGGCCGAGTTGGCCGAGCGGCGCGCCGTGTCTGTGCCGGAGGCGGACGCGTTTGCGCGCCAGCACGGGCTGGCGTTCCGCACGCTCAGCGCGTTCAACGCCGTGCAGGTGGGCTCGGTGCTGGACGACCTGGCGCACCGCGTGCTGCTCACGCCGCGGCTCTACCGGCCGGCCGTCGAGGCCACCGAGACGTACGTGCTGCTGCTCAAGCTGCAGACGCACGCGCACATGCGCGCCGCTGACGCCGAGCGCCGCCTGGCGGCCGTCGAGGACCGGCTGGCGAAGCTGGAGAAGACGGCGCCCGACGGCAGCGGGGACTGACGTCCGCTCGGCGGCCGGCTCCGGACTCCGGTCACCGAGCGGCTGGGGAGAGGCGTCGGTACCGGCTGACGCCCCCCGCCGCCGGCTGAGTTCCCCGTGTTGTGGCGCAGGTCCCGGCACGGCGACGGAAGCGTCGTGCTGCGACAGACGGCGCGTCAGCTGAGCACAGCGCGTGTCGCATCAGCTGATGTCGACGCATACCGGACCAAGCGAGACGTTTATACTCTTACTGGCGCCGGCCAGTGCGCCAGCGCGCGGACTCGGCCTGGGATGGCGGGCGCGTGAGGAGGCGTCCACTCAGGCGCGCCCGGAGACGGACAGCTCGGCCATTGTCGGGCCGGGCCGGCGGTGCCGCCCGTGTTGTGCAGCTGGCTGTGCCGTGCGCCGGCGGCGCCGCCCGCCGCTCGCCGCCCGCCGCCCGCCGCTATGCCGGATGAATCGCGGTCGTCACGCCACCACCGGCGTTGTTTCGTGACGAGGCCGTCGGCACCCGGCCTGGCGCCGGAGTGCCGGCGGAACGTGCGCCGAGACCCCTATAATCGATGCCCACTTATCTGAAATCGTTGCCGCGGTGTGGCGGCGGCCGCTCTGCCCATGGGGGCCAGGGCGGTTTGGATGCTTGCCAAATGACTGTTCGCTAAGCGGAAATATAAGAATGTATCGCGCTCTGCTGTTGCAACACCTCGGCGCCTTGCTCCGTGTGAATGTAGCGTGATGAATGCTGTCGGCGGCCTCCTTTGGATCGTTGAGTCTGACCGAGTCGCCTGGGTTCTTGCCGTCGCGCATATTCATGACGTTCATCGACTTTGTGAAGTCGCTTTTGTAAACAAAGCCCGGTCCAGTTGTGAGGTCGCATTGCGGTCCCACTAAGCTGCGTGGCAGCCGAGGAGGTCACTCCGGTTCCGTGGGCCTGATGACGAGCGCATCAGTAGCGAGCCCTTGTTCCACTCAACGCAACACGTGCCTGTGGCTGTCACCATCTGATGCCGCTGACAGTGCGTGAAGACCGAGCCACTTTCTCCCCCGTCTCGTGGCCGAGATTGGACGTGCTGATGACCCGTGCCGCTCTGTCGGCCGGTCGGGCCTCACCTGGCCGGGGAAAGGGCGCCCGGATTTGTTAATCACGTGGGTCTGGCGACGGCTGCCTCGGCCTTGAAGGCGCTTCATGTCCGGAAGGCCTGGGAGCTTACTGAAATCCAGTTACCTGTGTGTCGGAGCGCAATCCACGGGTGCTTCCTCTCGGGCTTAACGCACAGTGGCGTGTCGGTGAGACACTGAACGTGGAAGATACTGCTGAAAGAAAACAACGCTGATTTTAGTCTCGGCCTTCTTCCAGGGCCTGGGCTCTACAGGCGTATTGTTTGGTAACATGCTTAGAAAGTTGCGGTATCTCCTGATGTGCTTGAATGCTGGCTCTCTCCACACCGCAACTTGTCCCGTAGTTGCGTAGGTTTCTGTGGGGGTGTTCTCTTGTTACGCGTGACGCTTTCTGAACACGAAAAAGGTCCCCTTGAAATTGTTGGATCATTGACTTGGTATGTGGGGTGGTGGGAGGCGGTCCTTCACAGTCTGACTTCAGTAACAGTGTAGGCATAACCTCGTAAAACGGAACTTTAGGTAAGGTCTGAGGGCGCACAACTAGCGGTCGGCAATGACCTCAATGTTTCAGAGTCGCTGCGCTTCAAAATTGCCGTCCCAGGCCCGACTGCTCAGAAGTTCACCTCCGGGTACGTAACTGTCCATGAACTTTTACAGACCTGAAGCCTGAGGGTAAGGTTTTGCTATTGCCATTGGATGCTTCCTAATGCTGAGTGTCTTCCTTTTCAATTTCCTATGTCTTTGGATGCATAATTTTTGCAAGCTAAAAATAGGCATTATATGCTCAGCGCCCACACGCAGAAGCGACATCAGTAAGACGCAGCGAGTTATTTCTGCCCAAGCGTTTGTGGCTGGAGCAGTCTGTGGTGGTGACGCGTATTTACCGTCAGAATTCGGGACCGGAATGATTTCAAGGCCGCAGGTCGGGCAACTTGTGACGTCAGCAAGCCCACAATGGTGCGGCCGCAGTGGTCTGATCCGGCCGGGCTGGCCAGTCACTGTTTTGACGGTCGTATGGTTTTGCAACCAGTGATCGTATTGCCCATGAGGTTTGCACGACGAATCGGCACCATTCGGCAAAAGTTATATTGCTGCAGACTGCTTGGCCAGCCTCAAATTTCTGCAACGTTGGACCGTCCGCACCAATTCGCCTCCCATTATACTCACGTAATAAAATCAGATCGCCCCAACGCCACCCTTCACAGGTGTGTAGTGTTCCTCATGGCGACCAATGATCAATGATCAACGATCAATGATCAAAATAAGCCCACAATATTTGCGTGTTTGTAATACGTTGGTCACAATCGCCAAAACTGTAAATTGCTTTGGATTCGCGAGTTTTGGAGGTTGAAATTGTCGGTGTGGAAGCGGCCCATATTCCGAATTTTTGGCAGCGCCCTCCGTGAATGTTTGCTAGGACGCCAGCCATAAACTCACCTCTTCCCGCTAAACCCGTGAGTAGAGCATAGCCCAATGCATTGACGTCTAATCCATATGGATTTCCAAAGGTGGCGAGCTTCATTCGTGTCTAATTCAAGTACTTTCTCCATGGGAACAACGATACGACTGATAGGACTTCGCCCGTCTCGCGCCGTGAAACGAAATGTGCCTTTCTGGCTGATAACAAGATAGATTACTCGAATCATCTGTGACTGGTTCCTTTCCCAATTCCAGTGTCTTTTAGTTTTTGTAGGGGGAAAGAACTGTGTTTTTTTCACTATCAATTTGCAACCCGTCCGCAAGATGGCTACTTACACCAGCGTCCATTGCTGATAGTTTGCCTGGAGCATTCGGATCTGACTCCGCATCTTCGTCAGTTCGGTGTATTGTGTGCAGCGATGAAAAGATTTTTGTGGTCGCCAAAAGCGCTATACTGATTTGGAATCACTTTCTTAAGCGACCCCTGATCAAAGCATCGAGTCCCTTCAAGTACCTCAGTTGGCTTATGGTATCGTGTCCACTGTTGTTTCATAGCATGTCGAAGTCTCGTTATTTTCATCGTGTATGCGTGGTGTGCTCAATAGAACATTTGGCCTGGCTTCGGCTCCGGAGCTTAAACTTATCAATGGCTTGAGTGCGGATTATCAACAATGAGTGCGGTCATTGTGGGTAATCGGGGTCCCAAGAACCAATCAGGCTGGAGGCGTGGTGCTATCAGCATGCAGGCGAGATACTGGCAGCATGCAGGCGGGGTACTGGCAGCATGCAGGCGAGGTACTGGCAGCATGCAGGCGAGGTACTGGCAGCATGCAGGCGAGGTACTGGCAGCATGCAGGCGAGATACCGCTGGTATGTAAGCTCAGTCCTGCGCGCCAGGGGGTTGACATTTACGATATCTTGAGACTTGTTAAACTTAGGCCCATTTTGAGGGTCTTTTTGAACGTTTTTGGGCATCTGCATAGCATTTCCGATGGAATGGCATATAACACGCATCATGCTTGTCGGCACATGTCGGCTGATCATCCTGACCTCTGCAGGTTAAACCCCTCCATGCCTTACAAAAAGCCTTTGCGTGTGTTGTGAGCGCACTTTTGGCTTACTTTGGCACCAGTTTCGTGAAAATCCAAACGGTCGTCGATTTATGCTGAATATGAATGTCGTACTTCTGTCAACTCAGTATACGTAGGAAAGTTGGGCCGGAGGGGGGGGGGGGACGTTTTGAACAGGGTTTAGCATGTTCAGCGATAAATGTTGTTATCTGGTGTGTAAACCACAGCGAGGGAAATAAATTTTGGCTATATGGAGACAACCGGTAGGTACGTGCTTCCTTCTAATCTGACCGTAGTCAAGAAAAGACGCTCAATGACTGAATCTCAAAATTATCGGTCCAGTGGAAGAATGTTTCAGAAATTGCCGGTTCTGCAGCACCGCTGAGTTCGCCTTGCTTGCTCGATGAGACTGCAAGTGATGTAGCATATGCAACGTTGCTCGGCGTATAATCGTGAGAAGACGTATATGATATATAAGATTATAATGTAGACGCGATCTTCCAGCGCCATGCGATCTTAAGCACCAGAAGATATACAACATACTGTTTATGACCACAGAAAAGCACTCTGCTTGTCAAATACGCCCGGTTAGCACTTTAATTTTATTGTTTGGATGGTCGGTAAATTTGACCTAATTTGACCTCATATAACCTCTAGGTCACACTAAGAGCATTTTTGTTTCTGGAATACTTCTGTTCCACAGCTGCGCCTGACAAAATGAACTAAGTCAGAAGCACATTGCAAAAAAGTAGCGTTCTTGCAAGCTGCTGGTACGCCAATTTCGAACGGTGACCTTATCTGACCTGACCCTTTTGGGGAACAGAAATGTTAAGAATGGACTCCACTGAGGAAGTCCATCCCAGAGAAGCTGAGGAGTGAATGCGTTTGCACAAACATGGCGTGACATATCATGACCCGATCCGACCTAAAAGCATTGTAAAAGCTTATTCTAGCTACACATGGGAAACAAATGTCGCCTAGTTAAAAATGGAGGAGTGATAAAAAAGCGGTGCCTGCATCTTCGCTTTTCATGTTTACATGCATGAGGACGCCCTCTCGGAAAAGCTGTAAGAAAATGATATTGCATCTGACCTAGGTTAACCAGCTTGGGTACACCAATAAAATGGATATGAAATGAGAGCTCAATGCCTTGCGTACACGATCACGACACCTAAATGATATTCCAGCAATGGTCGCATATATTGAAACAGACTTGTTTAGCTCTAGTAGCATTTTCCGCAAGAACAGACGAAAATTTTTAGCTCGATGGTGGCCCCTGGGCTTTTTCAATTTCGCCGAATTGGTACCGATGGACGCAGACGGAACAAAACAACTAGAGAAGTCGCCACGTCCATGAATTTTCCCACTTAATGCAAAGCAGACAACTTAATGAATAGCCATCATAGCCCCTGCCCTCCTGTTATCACACGTGAAACTGAACCTGATGTCAAAGGCTTGAAGACTTTGAGCAGCACGCGAGTCAGCGGGGTTCCCTGCTATCATCAGATGCCCACTGGTCCTGAGAAAGAGGGGCTGGTGCTTGGCTTTCAGGCATGTGCGTGTGATAATCTTGGAAAGTTGTGTGGTAGGAGTGTTGGAATGGTAGGATGTGCAGAAAGTTTTTTTGTGAAGTTAAGTCACAACTGCAGTGAAAAAAATTAAGATGACGAAACCGAAGACAGCAGTTCAAAATTAGCTAGCCGAAGCTAGCAGGGGCGCAGGCAGGAGCAGGTCAGGTTTTAGGCCAGACGTATAATTCAGGGACTCTTTGAAGCTGAAGTCGAGGCCAGGTGTTCAAAATGACAGGACTGAATCCAGTCGTAAAACGCGGCGCAAGCCGAAGCCGAACCCGTACCCACTGAAGCAAAACTGTGACTTGACAAAGCTGGAACTGAAGCCGGCTTCGTTCGCACGGCTTCCACTACACAGCAACACCTAACATCTGACATTGTAATTCGCATGTGGATGTCGATAGTAATCTAAGGCTCGTGCATAGCGCGAGCATTCGATTGTTGCCACTTTAGGTACAACCGCCTTAATATGACCTAGTTCACAGGGAAATTTGAGAGTATTTTACG